GAAACACTAATAATTCTTGGATATAAAGTAAACACAAAAGGCATTTCTAAAAAAGACTTATGGACAACAACAATCACTAGAATAAAAAAGATACTAGAAAAATCATCTAACTGAAATCTTTCTTTTAAAGAAAAAATCCTTTTAACCAAGACACATATACTTTTATGAATATAGTATACAGCATATCTGACTTTACTAAGTAAAAAACAGATTGTAGAAATCAACAGAATTATGATACTCTGGATTAAAAACAATTTCAAAATGCTACCTAGATACTCTATATTTTAACAATCACTTGAACAAAATGGCCTTCAAGCCCCAATAATAGAAGATATGCTAGATGCTAGACTAATCTCAGTATGAAAAAATTCCTTACTAGTAACTTTATATGAGCTAAATATGAAAGAGGAAAAATCACAGAAATCCTACTTGAAAAAAGAAACATATCAATAATTTAGGCATTAAAGACAGATATTAAAAATTCATTGAATTTTATCAATTGATTGTTAAAATACCTTCAATTAAAGTTATTTTCAAAATTTAAAACATCTATCATATAATACTTGAATCAAAATTTTTATTACAACTTTGATCAAAGATATCTCAGCAACTGGTAAAAATTCAAACTTTTATTATATCAAAGATCTATTAAGTCCACGTTACGGAATATATCCAACGTTACAACAAACGTCAGATGTAGCTTTTAAAATATCGGTCACGTCTTGAATTACGACTGTGGATTCTACAAAAAAGTTATGTCTCTGATAAATTTTTTTGCAAAATTGGCTTCCCGACATTTTTAATTAACCTACCTGAGGTAAGTTTAGACTGCCGTTTTTCGGTTTTATTTCTTCACCGGTGATCATCAAAATTCTATAATTTGATTGGCACTGTGTCACGTGTTTATGCACCACCCTATTTAAAGTATTCTATGTGTATTTCTATTCAATAACGCGAAAATGGCGAACTGTACTAGCTTAGCAAATAACTCTCATGTTCAGGTAATCGCGTTCGACCTTCATTTGTTATGTGTTAGCAATTACAAATACACAAAAATATAAAAGACAAACTTTGATCTTTTACATTAGCAACCACTGTTTCTTGCGAAAATTTCAGAGACAAAAATAATCGGAAAACTCTTAAAAGCCATTGTAACCAAAAACAAAGTACCTTTTAAACTCTGCTAATGCTCTGATTTTCTTCAGGCATTTTTACGCTAGCAAACAAAATTCATGGTTTTATATATTATAAATAGGATGCACACTTATTTATTAATGGAGAGGAACTAAGAATTCACATTGCGTCTTTAAACTTTTTTCACAGTTAGTACTCTTTATGACTATCGAATTTGGTTATGTACCGTTTCTGATACATGTGGTTATTCTTATATTAGAAATTGCCGTCATTAAAAGGCAGCAATTTTTACATTATGATTTTCGTTTCAATCGAGAAATTCATCTCCCATTGTTCGGTGAAGCGTTTTTAGAATCCTTAACAATGTTTCATTCGGGTCGGTTTTCCTGTTTATACGATGAACAGAAAATAACATGGATTCTCGAGGTCCGATCATTATATTCACCACTTATTGTGACGTAAGTGTTTATTGTAACAATTAATTTATATTGAAAACATTATTCATTTTTCCTTTTGTTAAAGGATCGAACAGTGCAATATCAAGACAGCATGGACAATCGAAAGACTTGAGTCTACAAAACCAGAGAATCCTCGCCTCGATGAAAACCTTGCGATAAAATTTGCGGTCGCGGTAATTAATAGTATTGTATCATCTAAAAACAAATTATTTTTGACATATTACTAATTAATTAACCTTTAGGGATCTAATTTCAAAAAATATTTTAAAGATATTAATTTATTCGGTCATACGTTTACTCTTGAGCATTCATCTCGGGATAGAGGATCATTTGTTCGGATTAAAACGTCCGACGTGTACGGTGAAAGCGAGGTAATATTTTAAATTTAATTCGTAATGTAAATACATATTGGAAAATTAATTTTTAAAGTGTGTTAAATGATATTAAATAGGTTGCAATTGCTCATGATTCCGCAATATACCATAATACTTACGTACCAAATTTTAGTTTTAAGTATGTTT